TATGGTTCAGGTTTCACAAGCATATGTTAAAATTGATCTTAAAAGAGATTTATATAAAACTTTTGTTCTTCTATGATTTACATTAGATTTTATGTATTTTCGAATCCCATTAAAACATTAATTGGCTATAGTAATTCTTCTTTGAATTTCCATTGTAATATTGTACCTGTTGTTGATTACAGAACCCAAGTAAACGAAATTGTCAACAACTTTACACTTATACAGGCTTGCCACTCTACATGGAGAACAGGGAAAACCTGGAAAATACAGGGAATTTAAAAATCACCTAAAATAACAGGGAAAATGCAGGGAATTTTGTTTCTTATTTTTGTCTTTTAAAAAATGGTACCCACTCAAAGCGTAATCTATGGGATATTTAGCCATGATATTTCAGCTATACTAAACTATTTCACTTGCTATAACATTATTTAAATATGTTCAGCTGTTTTCCCACCAATTAAAACTAATAAATATAGTTAGCCCTATATAGCTCACAAAAGAGCACAGTAATTGTTGTTTCCGTTTAATATATTGTGTATAATAGTACAGGGAAAACACAGGGAATTTTTTTTCCAGATTTGAGTGGCAACCCTGTTATATTCTTCAATTTCTAAATGGGTGTTATTGAAGCTTGTTTTAGTACATATATGGCAAATATTTAGTTTTGCTCTCGTTTATTCTCAGGCCCATCTTGAGAGCCGATTTCTCAAAAGAAATAAAAGCCTGTCTTAGTGCTATAGGTGTTCTAGCAATAATGTCTATGTCATCAGCAAAGGCGAACAGTTGTACAGATCTATTAAAAATATTTCCCTTGATGTTAATGTTGGAATCTCTTATTACTTTTTCTAATACTAAATTGAAGAGTAGGCATGCCAATATATCCCTCTATTCACACAGTATTATTTATTACCATTGCTCTTGACAGATTATTCTGCATTTTGACCCTAGTTTTGGTTTCATTTAGTGTCAGGCATATCAGCCTAGATAATTTTTTAGGCACTTTAAACTCGTTCAAGGCTGCAATGAGGGCTTTTCTATTGATGTTATCGTAGGCATCTTTAAAATCAATGAAGATGGTATGTATCTATTCCATATTTCTTTAGTCTTCTCCAGAATCTGCCGAATGTTAAATATTTGCTTAGTAGTGGATCTTCTTTTCCTAAATCCACCATGATAGACTCCAACCGGTTTTTCCACAAATGGAGAGAGTCTGTTGTATAAAATATTTGAGAATACTTTATAGCTTGAACAAAACAGGCTAATACCTCTGTAGTTAGAGCATTCAAGTAGATCGCCTTTCTTGTGTATTACACAGGTCACACTCATTTTCCATTCCTCAGAGATTATTTCCTGATCCCAAATTGCTTTTATTATTGCATCTTGGAATCTAAACGATGTAAATCACAGCAAAACTTAAAGTAAAACTTTTAACTCTTACTGCGTCATAATTTTCAAAACCACAGCTCTGCTACTAACTGTAGTCCGTGGAGATCGAGTTTCAGACAGAAAGTAAAGTTTATTGACATTAAGCTGACAAATACATACAAATTTAAAAAGAACGCCATCTGGCGGTATTGAAAAGAAAAAGATTTCATAGCAATCCTTCCCTGGGAATGACAGCAGAAAGATTTATAAAGGTTCAATCTGATAATATGCATAAATTAGATAACATTGATTCTTTTAAAAATTATATGGATTTTAACACTGATTCAAATTTTTCTATCCTGATTTGAATGTCATTTGAAAAATCAAGGAAACACAATAAATTCTTCCAAGCTTAGTGTATTCTGTTGAGCTATGCTCCCCTTCTTTTTTAAACTTCTGTTAATTTTTAATTTCCTCTTTCCTAAGATCTCTTAACTCAAATTATAATTATTTTTTAAACATTCATTCAAGTAAATCATTATACGATTATTTTTTCAAATGTAAATCAAATATTTATTTTAAAATTAATTAGCATATAATGGATCTAAATCTACTGTTAAATTCTTGTAATATTTAGACTAAAAATATTTGATCTTGAAATAAGCATAGTAATAATTAAAAAGTGGTGCTTTTTTTAGTACTTTTTTCTCAGACTCTTTCTTGTGGTTCCTTTTGCATTTACTAGGGTTTTCACTACAATTATCCTTGAAAATAGTTTAGTAGCTATAAATATAAAAAAATAGCCTAAATAGTCTCCTCAGAGAACTAATTAAATTGTTTCATTCATCAATTTAATAGCATTTTGAATAATGATTAAAATGAACCAACTTAAAAATTAAATCACTTGACACAACTGTACAAGACAATAACTTAAAACAAAGCATAGCTTTGTATTTACAAAAACATCAAAACTTCTTAGATCTGACCTTATTTTAACATTTATTTAGATCATTTACTAATTCAACTACTGCTTTAAGAACAAACGAATAGTTTTCCTGCTTTTTACTACATACTATCATGAATAAAATAAGAAGAAAATCAAATAAATTTTTAGTTCAAGTTAATCAAGTAAATTTTAATTTGGAAATGAAAGCAATTATAAATTAAATGTGTGATTAAAATAAATAATAGAGGCAAGTTGCACTCAAGTTTGTTTGTTTTTTTCTCTCTTTTAACATGCAATTGATGGCATTGTTTCTAAGCCATCAAATAAATCATTTTGAAATAAATAAGCGAAAATTGGGAAAAAATAAATAAATTTCTTACAAAATTAAAACTGCAGCTTTTTTTTAAATATTTTACATAATGGAACTTAATTTTATAATTATATTACGAAGTTTTAATATTTAATTAAATTATAGATTATCTCATACTACAAATCAAACAAAATATCCATAATTACAAATAATAATTTTCATAATCATATGTTATAAAATATGAACACACAAAACCATTCTTAGAATGAATAGTAAAAAAGTAATTCCACAGTAATAAACAAAATAGCTTCAGGAAAATGATAAAAAAATATTAAAACTATGATCACTTTTCTTTTAAATTATCTGTGTGAATACATTAAATGTTACAAATATGCTTTGAATTATAAGTACAGGATTGCCTCAGAAAAAAATGAACAAAATAGTTTCTTTTAGTCGCCTATAGCATGAAAATAGTTGCCTAAATAAAAACAAAAGTTCATCAAAAATATGACTAAAATTTTATTAAATGACTTAATTATCTTATACCATAATCATTTAGTCAAGTTGGTGGCAAATATGATAATTTTTATATAAACCTTTCTTTGAATTCTGTGTTCCAGAACTAAATTTTTTTATCAAAAAAATTAGTACATTTGCAGAAAATTAAATACTTTTAATTACTAGAATTCTTTAAAAAAATACTTTTTCATTAAAAAAATACATACTTTTTCTAAAAATTTTTCCCTTTTATCAGAAATTGATTTAGCAAATTTATATATATATATATATATATATACATTGTGTAATCATNGTCGTATAAAAAAAATTTTTTTTTTAAATCATGTGGAATTTCGTAGCAATAACCATTGAAAAGAAGATTGAGAAATGAAATAAACTTGCAATGGAATATGTGGGAATTGAAAAGTGATTACTCAAATTTGCAATTTAAATTTTTTTATTTTTTAAGAAAAAAAGGTAGTCTGTTCAGAAGTTCCCATGGGCCGCAGGTTGTCAACCCAATTTATGCTAAATAGCATCACTATACAGAAAAGTCTCTTTTTCCTGAAAATAGTTGCTTGTTTAGCCTTTTCAGGCAAAAAAGTTGCCTTTGTCGCCTCATGCTGAAAATAATTGCATTTTAGTCTCTGTGGCAACCCTGTAAGTAGGCTAGACACAAAATTTTTCTTTTTACTCATCAACGCTTTGAAATCACGTGAATATGCAGTGTGGTACTGGATTTTTTAAATTTGTGACTACGATGTTTGATTTAAATATTGGGTAAAAATGAATCCCAAGGACAGGAAAAAGTGGAGCTGTATGGTAAAGGAGGACACAGTCCTTCAGGGCTTATAGAGCCAAGGAGTAAGTAAGTGAAAATAAATTGCATTTTTTTCTTTCAAAATCACATATGAACAGCTATGTCCGATTTTCAAATCCCTTCAATATGAATAGAGGTGTTTAACTTTCAAATAACACAAAAAAGAAGAAGAATATTTGATTTTTAAAATGCATGAATATAAATTGAGTTATTTTATTCTTAAAATGTGTGAATAAGAAACGCGATATCTGCTTTTTTAATTTTAAACTGCATTCAACGAATTTTGATGTTCAACTTTAACATAGCTTGAAATCTAATAGTGATATTTGATTTTTAAACCACGTGAGCACAAACTGTTATATTTGATTTTAAAATCATATGAATATGAAACACGCCATTTCATTTTCAAATTGCGTGAATACAAATTGTACTATGTCATTTTCAAAAAGCGAGAATTCGAATTGAGATGTTTAAATAGTGGAAATATGATTCCTGATGTGCTATTACAACATTTATTTTCTTGATTAGTTTTAAGGTTAGTATAACTCAAAATAGTGTCAAACATAACTGTGTATTACCTGACACTAATTACTTGGTAAAACTGATCCATTCTGGGTAATTAAATTAGTGAAAACTTATTAAATTATTAATAACTGACTAATGAGAAACTGGTCAGGTATATGCCAAGACATCCCTAGTTATAATGGCAGTTAATAAAACATTGCAAATGAGACTTTATAAGGCGCTGACTATTATGGAAGAAACACTGCAATGGAGGATTGCACTACAGAGATTTGTAGTAAATTAAATTCTTATGATTGACTCACTAAAAACTTCTTTATAGATGGTTATAAAGTTTCGAAAAACAACGTATGGAGAGAGAAATGAGCTATTAAAATAAAAAAGAAAAAGATAAATGCATATTAACCTTAAATTAGCTGTGAATAATGGTACATTAAAAGAAAGAAAAAGAGTTTCATTTCAAACTATTATGCTTTTTTAATCTAGAAAAGATGCGTTAATCCACTGTGCACATTTTTAAACAATAACGCAAATTAATGTTTAACAACAAAACTAATAATTAATATTTATTACAATAACTAATAATTTAACAACAAAATTATGTTTGTTCCAAATTAGAGTTCTTGCCAGCCTCAGGAAGTTTAAAACCAACAATTCCAGCAGTTTCTTCAACAGATCGTTCCCCATGACTATGGTACTGATGTAATAGCTCCTGATAAAAAATATATACATTTCAAATTTCAGAAAAATTACTAAATGTTAACTGTAGCAATATTTTTATGTTTCTCAAAGCAAAAGTGAATCATAAATAAATAAAGAATTTTATAATTTGATAAAAGTAAACAGAAGTGTGAATCATATTTTCTGTTTTTGAACTTTTTTCTTTTCAGAGATTAGGTAGCTTTATCAGGTTCTCAAAAAATGACTTTGATCTTGAAATTGGCTTTTCTTTGAACGATTCCGCCTATCTTTGGTAAACTTTGAAGGATTTTACATCTTCCAGAGCAAAAAAAAAAAATATTTATATAAATGCTATGCACAATGAAGACAAATACTTCCTGCTCAAACATAGATATAATGAACACTAACTAAAGTGTTTCAAGTTATTCAACCGCTTTCAAAACTCCTTCAATCCTCAACAAACGCACACATGAGTGGGAACCATCATATATTGATATTGCAGATGCAAGGCAAAGAATATCATTCATATTATTATTCAGCCTGGTAGATACATGAATAAATCACTAATTATTGTTTAAAAAAACGTGATGATAAGTATCATTTAGAAAGTAAACAAAAAGTATTCTTATTAATTATCCACCTTAGTGCAAACTTTCGTCACTAGCACCTTTTCTTCATAAAACTTTGAGAAAACCTGGCTTTTTAAACAGATCCTAACTTAAAATCACTAGTTAAATGTTAATACGCTGCACACCTCAGTAGAACCATGATTGATCTTTTCACAAGAGATCACTTATTGCAAACGATAGATATGTAGAAAACGATGAATGCAAATTAACATGAATAAAGTATGTGCAGTCTCAATGTGAGAACAGCAACAAGCAAGTTCTGTGACATAACTGCTCGTTAATTAATTTAAAAATACCTTTAAATAATTATCATTAAAAAGTAAGTATCTTCATCTTCTTTTATTTAAAAGCAAGTGTTAAAAATATCCCAGAAAGCAGAAAAATGTCTAACTCCTGAAAATGTTAGCATTCCATAAAATATATTCAATAAGAACTCTTAAGAAATGTAAAAATCAAGTGATTAACATTCTAGTTATAAAATTTTATTTTTGTTTATATGATACAAATTGCCATTTTCTCCCTTTAAAAAAGAAAATAAAAACTCTGAAAAAGTTTGTTACTTAGGAAAAAAGCAATTTATGAACAATGCCTTATACCTATGAACAATGCCTTATACCTAAATGCTAAATGTATTCATTGTTTGATTGTGTTACAGAATGAGATGTCACTAATTACATCCAATTCTAATTCCATTCTAATTCTAATTCACTACAATTCTAATTCACTACAATTCTAATTCCAATTCTAATTCACTACATTACATCCAATTCTAATTCCATTAAAGCTTACACTCTACTTATTTATGAAATAAAAAATAACTACAAATATTTGTATTGAATAACTGTAAAAGATACCTTATTTTTACGTGTGGATTGAAGATAACACAAGTAAGTTTGTGCAATTGTTTTCAACTCGTTTTCACCTTTGCAAGTTCGTTTTTCTGTTACTTGATGACAGCGATATTCATTTGTTAAAAAGACGTAAGCAGATGTCTGTGATATTGGTTTCATCTAAAAAATAAAAATTACTGTATTATAATTGAATACGCAAATAAAAATAACTAGCAAAGTAACAGAAATATTTCTTGCTACACCATGTTTGTTACAGTTTAAAAATAAGTACATAAAAAAAATATTATTGCATGTGTAGATGTTCTATATGGGATTATTCACACCCTTCACTGGTTTCAAACAGCAGTTGTAAAAAAAAAAAGGTAAAAAAATTGGTGGCTTCAGCAGAAATAAAATCTTAAATTAATACTAAAAAAAAAACTCCATTTCTACAGACCTTACAATTGTTTGACATAGTAAATAAAATAGTGAGTACCAAGCATGCTTGGGAACTAAACACTGGGGGTTCCGCGTTCGGCTGACCGGAACATCTGCTCCTGCACCCCAGAGCCCAAGGTCAAGAAAACTGAGATGGGCACAGTAGGCCTTGGCCCGCAAGGGCTGTCGCGCCGCTGAGTTTAGTTTAGTTTTTAGTAATAAACAAGATTTTGCCATATTATTCCTTACATTACAAAATTAACATTCTGCTCCTCCTGTGGCTTTTTTTTTTTTGTCTTCTTCAATTTAGTGAATCACACACAAATTGTGTTATAAACAATTATCTTTTAACAATGATCTGTCTTACTATATGAGATTTTATAAATCCCTCTGAACCTTTCTTTAACTTTAGAACTTCATTTTATCTGCTTTTAGTAGATTGCACACTTCTATCTACAAGTAGATTCTGTTATATATGAGAAGTTTGAATATTTAATAAATGTTTACCATATGGGAAATTAAACAGCCCCATCTTAACAGTCATTTTTTTAATTGTTTCTGTATTAAGTACAATATTTGTTTTTGTCATAACTTCTCTTACTATAACTATCTTTACCTGGGTGAAGAAGTATGAATCCTACTGTTCTGAAAGAATGAGAATTTTACCAACTAAGCATCTAATACTGTGCAAATTATTGAACTGTGCGAAAACAATATTGGGTTGATAAAAAATTTCTTTAGCATTAAAAAACAAATATGCTTGACAAATATGTTAATCGTTTCTGTTAAACATAACAAACTAAAATCAGCAGATGAAACTCCATTTGTATCAAATTCTTCTGAATTTAAAAAACACTTTTATTTCAGACAAAGATAGTTTTTTCAAAAACTTACTTTAAAACAATTAAGAATTCATGTAATTTCTGAAAACAATAAAACCAATTTTTCAAATTTAAACAGCAGAATGAAATAATTCTTAATTTCTGGCTGAAAAAAAAACTCTGATTTATAGAACAACGATTCTAAAGAATATTTTCCCCAGCTACACAATACTTCCATAAAGAAAACATGAGAATTATTTTTGGTTGACAAAAAACAAGAATAAAATCTCAAAGGTATAAAAAATTAAAATTCATAGTTATCTCTATACAAAATCATTATCTCTTTTACATACAATTTAGTTGTGTCATACAATATTATGACAATACTAATATTAATAAAACTACTAGGGTTGTAAGGAATAGTGATTTGACCGAATGCTGAATATTTGGCCTAATACCAAATATTCGACACCCGAAAAGCAACACTTTTTTTAAAAAAATCATTAATAAATAGCTTTTTATATATAAATAAGTTTAATCATTGTTACAACTTGATTGTAGCACAGTTTTTGTAACACTACCTACCAATCCTATCTATTTCAGAAACTCTATAGAACACTTTTTAATGTCACTAGCACAGTGAACTTTGCCTCCAACGCCCTACCATGTAAAGGAAGGCAGAGCCATCTAGCTCTAGGTACACCACGCAACCAGGCGAAGGAAAGCAGAGCCATCTACACTGTCATCATATAGCTGAAGGAGAGGTGTTTCGCCTTTTCTTATATAGAAGATGGCAACGAATTGAAAGAAGGTTCTGTCCGGTTCTTTTAGGTGGCAGATGTGGTTTTAAAGTAGTGTATGAAGGTTGATTTTTTTCTGCTTTCTTAGATAGAGAATGTCGTGCTAAGTGTGAGTGATTAGACTGTTCAGCGTAATCAGATTTAATCCCACATTTTAGTTGTGATACACAATTTTAAATTTAATATCATGTTGGTATGTTGATACCCAAACTTAGCAGTATTATTGGTGCGGGGTATTGGGAAAATATATAATAGTAATCCATTAGAAATATTTAACAAAAATAAAAACCAGCTAACAACTATTAGGAAAAAAAACTGATATTACATAATTGAAAAAAAAAAAAAGAGAAATGGCAAAATAATTATCTTTAACTTTAATGCTAAAAATATTATTTTCCGAGAAAGGTATACATAAAACATTGAAATAAATATAGTCCATCTGAAACGCTTTTACAAATGTTGCGCCGTCATAAAAATTCTCACAAAAAAGGATTACATACAAAAGGAAAACGGAGAAAATAAGAATCAATGCTAATTCTCGAAAAAAAAATCTTAATACTGCATTTTAAAAAAAATTGAAGAAAAATAAACAAGTCTAATAAAAACCCTTTTAATTGATGCATTATAATAAAAACATTGATAAAATCCCAAGTTTAAAAAAATAAAAAATACATAGAAACAATAGCAAAAAATAAGGATAAAAGAAAAATGCTCGTTAGAAATGCTTTTTAAAGAATGCTGCATCATAATAAATCTGCTAATAAAAAGAAAAGTTAATAAAAAAAGAAAAAAGAGAAATAGGAAAAGAAATGTTCTTATTTTTTAAAACATAACATTATAGTTGAAAATCACATCTTTTTTCCAGCACGTTATCTGTCTTACCATACAAGAAAAAAGTGAAAAGAGAATAAAATCTGTCATAAAATGTTCCTTAAAAATATCACGCTATAAAACAGCAAAAGCAAAATAAATAAACAAAAAAACATTCTCAATTCCTGAAACAAAAGAGTTGGAATAACGGCAAAAATTGACTTGCCTGAATGTAATTTTAAAAAATCATCAAGACAAAACACATGGTTTAGTATGAAGTAATCTAGTTTCAATTCTTGAAATTTCATTTTTCATCCAGAACATAAATTTGCAAGAACATGAATTTTAAAACTTAACAAATATGCATAAAATCTATGTCTGATAATGTACAGTAAAAGTACTATTTTAAATTATTCATTATTTAATCTATTAACATTTCCAAAAAACTTTGTCAAAAAATACTTGGTCGAACGTTCAGCAAACCAAATTTTACGCAAACGGGCCAAATGTCAAATAGTCTCAGAATATTCATTTCCTCCCTAAAAACAACAAACCAAACTCTTGAGATAAAATTATTCATAACTTAGACTTATTCTAATTTTGAGAAAATTTATCGATTGTGATCTGTAGCAAAATAATCGATAAGCCTTGAGAACTTTCGGGCAACGGCGAGCAAAAAACTGCAACAAAAAAATTTTTTCATTGAAAGTGAGAAGCTTGAAGGGTATAATTCATACCCAACCACAGGCAAATATTTAAGGTTTTATTTATAATTATCTTTTGGTACCTTTCCATTATACCTGTGCAGGTGATAAAGCTGTTATTGCAAACTTACTGAGTGCAAGTAAATTCATCTGGGGTTTTTTTTATTATTATTTTTAAGTGCCTTTTTTCAAATAAATAAAATAGCCAAAATTACTTGAGCCGGCGCAATGAAAAGTAGCTTTTCGTTTGCTTTAAAAAATTTTATACCCAAAGGCAAGTTAAAAATCTATTTGGCAGCTGGGCGACTGTAGTTCTGTGACAAATCACGATACGGATACATCCCAAAAAATGCTGCATTATACCTTTAACGCAAGAATATCTGAAAAAAATTGTATTATAAAAATGCAACTAAGATAGAAGAGGGGCCTATGTTTGATTTAATAACCTCTTTAATTGAGATTGTATTACATGCAAGTCCAAGCAACTAAATAAACTTTCACGAAGTCACACATTACACTCACTTTAGGATTGCTTTTCCGAAGTTCATGCGAAATACTTCGTAAAATACCTAAAGACTTCAAACTACTCATATTAAAAAGTCAATTAACAAATCTAATACGAAATACTATCGTTCTTTAAATAAATGACAAAAACAAAGTTCTTTTGAATTGTATTCTTGCAATATGTTTTTTTTTAAATACTTGTTTCAAAACCTTCAAAGCATTTAATTATTACAATAGATTTAGAGAATTTTTCACGCACTTTTTCTTTTCATTTGTTTATAAATAAACTACTCTTGTTGCCATTTCTATAAGAACTTTTTCGCATGTAAAGAAAAGCTTAAACCACTTAAGCCGAGAAATATTGTTTTTCACCATTGTTGTTGCAGTTCATTTACGCCGCACTAGAGCTGCACAAAGTGCTCTTGGCGATGGTCTAGGAAACATTCCTGAGGATGATCCGCGAGGATATGCCATCATAATTTTGATCCTCTTCTACGGGGATGGCACCCCGCTTCAGTAACCCGACGATCCGCTCGTTAAGTGGAGCACTTTACGGTAGAACAATTTAACAAGGAACAATATCGCAGACCCTCGGTTCTTACGCAGACAGATCCAAGTGGTCACCCATCAGCACACTGATCGCCGCCAGTGATGCTTGATGTCGGTGATCTGCAGGGAACCGTGTACTGCGTGTGCAAACAATTACGCATGTGAATTCCGAGATCCAAGCTTGAACTTGATTAAAATAATTTTCGAGGGTAAATATATTTCCCCAATCATGTTCTCATTCGCAACTCCAAATTTACACAAGCGAATTTTTTGCATATAGTGTGAATGGCCTGTAAGGCACCATTTTCAAAAGACCTTGGTAGCTCAATAGAATAGCTCAATAGCGTGGTAGCTTCGTGGTAGTTGTATTGTTATTCCGCCCACCAGTTTAAACCTAAGTGGTGTAAGTACGATTGACGATATATTTGGCAATAGGCATTTTTATTTTCATCATTTTTACATTTATATGCTGCATTTTATAAAATAAAATCTTAGGAAATTAAAACATTGATTTTGTACAATAATTATTGATTTATAGATATTCAATAATTATGTTTAAAAGTAGTTTCTTTGTAAGTTATCCTATTGAATTATCTTACTGAATATTTGTGATTAAATTTTCAATGTGATGATTAAATATGTGTGGTAAAGTTTTCAATCTTAATCCTTCTCTTAAAATCCCGCAATTTTATGAACTGTATTCATGCTGAGTAGCAGTGCCTTATTTAAATAAGGCGATAATAATAAGTGCGACATAATTATGTCGCACTTACAGCTGCACAATGGCCTATTAGCGAAGGTCGGTTCGGAGCCTTTTTGGAGAATTGTGATGGCATATCTTCGGATCATTCTCAGGAATGTTTCGCAGACCGTTGTCAATAGCCTATTGTGCAGATCTAGAGCTGCCGGGTCCCGCAGTGGACTGATCGTTAAGACACGGTTCCCAGCAGATCACCGAAGTCAAGCATCACTGGCTACGGTCAGTGTGCGGGTGGGTGACCACTTGGATCAATCTGCGTAGGGACCGAGGGTGTGCGGTATTGGTCCTCGTTAAACTGTGCTACCATAAAGTGCTCGACTTCGCGCGCAGGTCGTCGGGCTACCGAAGCGGGGGTGCCAACCCTTCCGCAGAGGATCAAAATTGTGATGGCATGTCTTCGGATCATCCTCCGGGATGTTTCCCAGACCGTCGCTAATAGCCCATTATGCAGCTCTAGTGCGACGTAAAGTAACAACAACAACAACTAGAGCTGCCGGGATTCTATCTTCGACACAAGAAGACCCACCGAATACATGCGCTATACGAAATCGTAAAACCTGTGAAATCGAAAGTCCTGTGGTCGGTCACTGAGAGTACCATGGACACAGAGATCTGGAGAACATTTCCTTCCCCTTCAAGTTTACGTCTAAATTGAAGAAGTAACCTCAGGAATTGTGATGGCATGTCTTCGGATGATTCTCTGGGATGTTTTTCAGACCGTCACCAATAGATGGTTGACAGTGTAAAGCTAAAGCAGATGGCACCAAGGCCGTAGCCAGGATATTTTTTCGGAGGGGGATATGGTAAGAAGCGAGGACAGTTTCAGACATGCAAAGTAGGCCAAAAACATTGCAACAAATATTATTTATTCTGTTGTTTGCAAAAGTTAAACTAGTAATTAAAAATATTACATAATAATTATTTTTAAATTAATATTACATAATAATTATAATCAATTTGTAAACAAAGTTTACAAAGACATGCGACGGGGGTTAGAAGAAAATTTTTCGATTACTTTTTTAGGACAAACCGGAATATCCCGAAATATGCTTAATAAAGTTAGCCCTGTTAGCCTTTCTTCTTTAGTAGCATTTCCTGTTGCTGTTTTTACGCATTTAAGAGAAGAAAAAGTTCTTTCTGCAGTTGCTGTGGTGATTGGCAACGCAGCCAATATTGATAACAAGCAATAAATGTCTGGGAAAAAGATACTGTCGCATTCTTCCATTGCTGAAAGTGCCGTATTTGGTTTACTGAGGGGTTCACGCAGATTCCACTTTGATGCCCATACTTCCATTTCTCTCATGAGATTTTCGATGTCAATGAAATCTGCGTAGATTCGGAAATTGCATAAATTAATATCAACGTTCATACAATACTTAGGTAACACTTTATTGAGAGATGCAAGAGTATCTTCGTGCTTCGAAAATCTTTCAAGCAGTTGGGTAGCGAAATAATCTAAAAAAGGAATGCATATATTTTGACGGAAGTACTGCTCTAGGTCTCTGTTCTGATTTTTTATATTGTCAAGGTGATTTTGATAGGATGCCAAACTAGGAAGTTTTACATCTAGATCCAAAACTTGTGAAAGTATTAAGGATTTTCGGCTATAGCTTTTGAAATTCATACTCGGCATTTTTTCTCTTGTTTAGAACTGTGTTGTTTATTGATTTTGCATGTATCTAAGCTCCATTCCAATCTAGATGAATTTGTTGGAGTTCTTTGCTCAGTGAAAGAGTCACAGAAAAAATATCTCTACAAACAAATAAAGTAATGTAAAACTCACTTTTAGTGATAGTAGAAATAAGATTGTCCGCTTTAGAGGAGTTGAATTATTTCTGGATAAAGTTCTTTAAATCTAATGATTGCATCATGGTTTTCTATCCATCTTGTTTCGCAAAAAGATATTATTTGCTGAGAGGTTCAAAGTTCGCAAAAAGATATTACTGAGAGGCTCAAGGAAAGACTAAAAAATTGGAGTCCCAGAATTTCGGGGGGGGGGGTTGTCCCGAACCTATTTCTATTGCCACTATAGTAGATATGTTGGGTATATTACTACCAACTAAAAACACCTATTTACATAATACCAGTAGCACTTATTACAAAATTCATTTGGTGTCTATAATGAGGAAATTTATTATGGTGCTTTCTTAAATAAGTACTTTTATTCCAAATTTTTTTCACCAAATTTATTTAAGTATCATGTTTGTCAATAAAATATATCAATTCTTTGTACATCTCATAAACGAATAACTTTTATATCAGGATGTTTTATATTGAAACATTTATCAGGATGTGAAGCCAAATCTTTCAATAAAAAATAAGCCCTTTTTAAGCACTCAAAAAATATTTTTAAGCACCATATACAGTAACAAAATGCAAAATAATTTTCAAAGACTTTACATGATCATTATAAAATAACTAGTTTTTGACAAGGAACTCTTTTCTTGATTATATTAGCCATTAAAAAATAATAGATTTTTCGGTTCAATTTCAGAGGGTGGAAAATGAAGTTTGAATTTGAGAATATCTTGCAAAATGCAGCAGTGCAGCACATGAGAGTGCAATAATCTCACCGAACCCAACTCACNTGATCCTCTGCGGAGGGGATGGCACCCCCGCTTCGGTAGCCCGACGACCTGCGCGCGAAGTCGAGCACTTTACGGTAGCACAGTTTAACGAGGACCAATACCGCACACCCTCGGTCCCTACGCAGACTGATCCAAGTGGGTCACCCACCCGCACACTGACCGCAGCCAGTGATGCTTGACTTCGGTGATCTGATGAGAACCGTGTCTTAACGATCAGTCCACTGCGGGACAACAACAATTCTGAGATGCGTTTAAGAACTTAAAGGGACATACACACTGAATGCGGTTTCCTCAATTCCGATCGCCGCAGAGGTAAATGGAGAAACTGTATAATGAGCTTTTTGCAATAAAATATATTTCACCAATCAGGTTCTCATTCTCCCTCGACGACGATCGGAAATAAGTGATATCATTCAGTTAAATGGACCTTCTTAATGGACCATTCTCACATCCTGCGATTCTATTAAGTCAGATCAAAAAATAACATGAAGATAGCTTGTTCCACTTAAGACCGGGTTACTAATGAAGAGGCTTGGAAATTTATTTATTTATTAGTACACATACGTATGCAAGCTTGTGCGCTCAATTACATAAGTACAGCTCATAAGCCTTTGTGAAATAGAACAGAAAACACACTTCATAGAAAGACAGCTCTAGAGACATCCAGGTTTACGATGAATTCGAATCCTCTACATCCAACTAAGCTAAAAAGCATCTAGTAGGCAATACCACTTGACCAGGGAGAAGGGAGACCCCAGGTTTGGAAAATGCAGATGATAAGGGCCGAGAGCGACAGGCGTAGCGTAAGGGGGAGCACACTTTTTGCTTTTAGAAAACTGTTTGTTTATTTTAAGTTTTATGAATATGTGCAATTTCATTCTTTGTATGTGTGTCTATTTATGTATAAATGTATGCATGAAACTACGCACAGTTTTCTAAAAAAAAAAAGTGTGCCCCCCTCACGCTACGTCTATAATAAGAGCAGAACCTACAAGCTGTGCCAAACTTAACTTTTGTTTTAAAACCTAAGATTTAAGTCATGAGTCATAGAATTTAGACATCCAACTTTAGAATAATAAAAATATTCCAATAGTTTAAAACACAACCACATACAGTTTTTCACCAAAATATTACAACTTATTACATTTTTCCCGATACCTACAGCCCCTTGTACTAATTGTCCTAGGAGTCCTTTGACTACTTGAGCCTGCCTCGGGACAGCTTTCCATTCTTCACGGTTTTGGGCCTTAAACATAGAGTTTTTGATTTTTGTCTTTTATTAAAACCTTTTTCACACCCTTTCTCTTCGTCTTGGTCTTCTGCGTAACCTGGAGCCATCAGGTTTTGAAACGAAGATCTATTTCAAATTTTTTGTTTGTAATTTTCCTTATTTTTATAACAGTGACAGAACCAATATCGTCATACTTTTTCATTATTTCCGAATTGTTTCTAATTCTCCAATATCATTGACAAAACTAAAAATATTCTCATCTCTTTCTCTCCCAGATAAACAAACGATCTCGATCTTTTTTAAACCCGAGTCCAGAGTTCACTTTCCCGAAAATAACACATGCTTGATATTTTGCTTTTAAGAGGAGTTGCAATAGGAAGAAAAAAAATTATTTTGGAAAGGAAATTTTAAAAACCGTTAAGTTTATCTTTTTTCCAAAAATTTAAAATTGGCAAGGCATACTGAGTTATGCATTTTTATATAATATATTTTCTATTGTTGTTGTTGTTGATTTACGCCGCACTAGAGCTGCACAAATGGGCTATTGGCGACGGTCTGGGAAACATCCCGGAGGATGATCCGAAGACATGCCATCACAATTTTGATCCTCTGCGGAGGGGATGGCAACCCCGCTTCGGTAGCCCGACGACCTGCACGCGAAGTCGAGCACTTTACGGTAGCACAGTTTAACGAGGACCAATACCGCACACCCTCGTTCTCTACGCAGACTGATCCAAGTGGTCACCCACCCGCACACTGACCGTAGCCAGTGATGCTTGACTTCGGTGATCTGCTGGGAACCGTGTCTTAACGATCAGTCCACTGCGGGACTTTCTATTGTAAGGACCATTAAATAGGCATTATCAATCAAAATTTTCGATGTGAAAAAAAGAGCATAAAATATCATAATTTTAATACATCATAATCATAATGATAAAGTAAACAAAAATAATAAAATGAAAGAAATTACAATGTTTTATTTTTAACTTTGGAATCAAAGTTTTTAGTGAAAAAAAATTATGTTTTAAAAACAGTTGTAATCGTTTGAAATAAACTAGACTTGAACGTACATTAAAGAAATACTTCAAGTGAGTTGAGACTACGTGGTACAGTATTAGATACGGTTCTACAGCTTAGCATTAAAATTTTTGCATTAAAAATTTCCTTTTATTTCAGATACATAAAAAATTTGTGAAAAGTTAAATAAATTCAAAGATAAATATTTATTTATTTAATTTTGAATTAATTTAACTTTTCAATATTCTAATCTATTTAACAAAAATATATATTTATTTATTTAATTGTTCTTACACTGAAAACTAATGATGCTAATGCATCAAAACGATTATTTTCTAATTAAAAAAGCTCCTTAATGTAATTAAATTAATAACAAAATGTAACAATTTGAAGAGAAACACACATCACTTTACGATCAATGGGAAACGCCATATTAAGGATTCAGTTCAAGACAATCTTTTGAACGCTTAGAGAGAGGAGATGATGGTCGACGTCATCACTAAAGCTGTCTATTTAAGCTTCTATGCTTCCTTTAACCACCCTTATCATGCTTGCCCATGCCACTACCATTCTGATTTAGAATCAATTGGGAAATCCCCTCTCATAGACAAAAAGATAGAAGGAATGTCAGAAAAGTTGCAAACAGCTAATGAACATATTCGTTTAGAAAAAAAAAGGAAGAAAAAGAAAATTCAGAAAAGTTTGCGTGAGCTTTTTAGAGAAAAAATCATTTTTATCTGTTAGAGAAACGCTTAAAGCGAGATTTTCTTAAAAAAGGTAACGCAAAAAACCAGGTTCCACTCTGTGTGCGAGTGTATATACATATACATAAATATATTGTGTATATATATATATATTGTATATATATATATATGTATACATATATAAATACACACACGCATTTTAACTAAGCATATGACTCATCGATGATACTATGCATTTATATGTTCAGAAATAAGTTAGGTATCAAAAGAAATACAAGTATCAGAGTTTATATAAAATATTTATTTTAGCACAAATCAAATTTTTTTCAACATTTTAAAACTCTACAGAAAAATTCGAAACATTTCATCGTCATAACTCAACTAATAAAAATAACTACATGGAATGTTAAAATCTAATATTTAGGACTTTTCAACATAGTACAAGTACAATGTGCGACTTCTTTATCAACAACTTAACATCTCAATATGTAGCATTTTCAATAGTCTCATTTCATTTAAATATAGAAATTTTTTATTCACAAACATTCAATGAATAGAGTATTAATACAAAAATATCGCAAACAATGTTAGTTATTAAAAACATTTATGTCCGAACTTTTTCAAAAAGTATACTTTGAATTGGCAGTAGGACTAGAACAGTTCGTTTGACTACAACGTAGTATTAGTAACACAGATATATACTTTAATCAATTGTAAAAAAAGACTATAAAATAACATTTTTCTAAAATAAATATTTTTGTTTCTGATTAAATATTTTTAAAACAATCAATTTTAAAACATTTTAATGTAACTTTCAATCATGCTTTTTAAGGATGAAAGGAAGCACAATTATTTATTTTAATCAAAAGCTCGCAGGATCTCACATTAGCAAAGGTGAGCATTTAGTTTGATAGTCTGACTTGTAAGACAGGATTTGATGACGGAACACATATGAGCTTGACACAATTTGACTCTAATCCAATTGCCAAGAAATTCAATGAGTTGCATGAGTTACAGTTCATCCCTACTCCTTTTATTTTTATGTCCACATGTCTGAAGTAATGGCAGAATCAGGAGTGGAACCAACTGAAAATCGTGAACTTCGACAATGGCAAGGAGATTTTAGACAATTGCAGGAATTCAAGTTTAGGTGCCTTTCAAAGTCTTTCAGCTGTCCTAGAAAGTTTAAATTCGGAGATATATTCGCTTTTCTACGTTGAACAAAGTCATAAGCTTCATTCAGAGGAATGTTCAATTCATGCATCAAGTAAGCTAAAGTTATTGTGACAGATCTGCTTATACCAGCTAAGCAGTGAACTAAAACTCCCAACTTCCTTTTCCTAGCTTCATCTAAAAACAGAAACAAATACAAAATTATTTATCTTGAAATACATAAATGCAAGAGAAATTTATAGAGATAAGTAAAATGAAATGAATTTAAAAATTAGCTTCACCAAGTTTATAAACGTTTCAATACTGCCAATAAGAATGTATAAAAGTTTTCTTTGCACATCATTACAAATTTACTAGCTTCAACGTGAAATGCAATAAATACACTATAGTTGAAGCACAATAAAGTACTACAAATACTTCTATGATAATTTCACCTTATATCGCTTTCGGAATGTTAAGACTAAAATAATTCTTTTATTCAGACAAAAACATACAATTTTTTTTTTTTTTTTTTGTAATTATGACAACTACTTAAAAATTGGGAAGAAAAAAAAATTTCCTCCACAATATGGAATTATAAAAATAAATAAAATAAAAGCTAAAGGAAGGAGTACAATATTCTGAAGCCCAAAGCGTTTTAAAAACTACTATGAATCCATTTTTTCTTAAACATCATCTTAAAACTTTGACGAAGAATTTTTATTAAACATATTTTGATACTTTTTTCCTGATTTTGCATTCATTTAGGTCAAAATAAGTGAAAAATATTATAACTAGCATTTTAATAGTTTACGCATAGAAATACAGCATGAAACCAGCAAAAAGGCACTATGTCTGGGTTAAAGGTAAAATCTTACAAATAGTTCACTCCCAAACAATAATTTTTCAAATTTGCACTCATTTACAGTTATTTAGATCTAAGAGAAACAGTTATTCATCATTGAAATTTCTTTAATTTACAAAATCAATTATTGATGCATTTTTGAAAATGAATGACAAATCAAGAAAAAAAAATCAAACTTCTCTTCTTGGATTTTATGTTTACAAATATAATTCTAATAATCAAACAGATTTTTTTAGTAACTTTTAGACTGTTTCCTATAATTAAAAAATACCAAAATATATTTTTTCTTGTTATTAGAGCGCCAGAAAAAAAAATATATAAAGGGACACTGGTGTCCCATCTGCGTCAAAGGGTTAAATTTAATCGGTAATGACCATGTGGACACCCATGAGTTGATAATTTCGCATTTTTACATTGCAAATTCGAGTGCTTCAGTGGTTGAATCTTCACGAGAACTTTTTTTCCAAACATGCTGTTTTTAATTTGAGTCACTCTTCAAGAGAATCACTCATTTGTCATTGCAGGTTTGCGGATCAAGCGTATCATTTAGTTTCCGGAACACTACAACTAAAAATCTTCACTTCCTTTTCTACGTTCTAGCAACGTTTCTCATGAACCTATAATTTTCCTTACGTTTCCTTAATCATCTGAGTTTCAACTTTATTAATCTTATTTATATATAACTTTCAAGGCATATAATGTAACCTTTTCAAGAGATAATCAAATTAGCAGTTTAAAATAAATATTGAAAAGTGATTAGGGGTTAGGTAGTTAGGGCCCTCTGGGCGGAATTTTGTTCATAACAAATAGGTTCAATTGAGAAAAGTTCCTGGGGACAAATAGAGAAATAAATCGAATTTATTAAAATTTTAACATAACACGTTAGAGATGAACCGAAGTTAAATTTGAGATTTAAGTTTAATATTTATTCTCAATTTTGGTAAAACGCTTATAAAAAAAAAATAATAATGCAGCAATTGATCTTATTATACAGATGAATTCAAAAAATAAATGAATGAATAAATCCTTAATTCGTAAAACTTATTAGCTTTTTTTTGAAAAAGTAAACTTTAAAGCAATAAAAAAAATGACGGTTTTCGCAAACGAATGCTATGTAGCAGATAATATTTTTTAAAAGAATTTTATAAATTTAGCATCCGGGTATTTTTAAATAAATAAAAAAATGAATAAAAAAAATCCATGATTGAAATCTAATCTTTTAACTTTTTTGAGGTATTGTCTTTTCCCAGAATCAGTCTATTTGATAACTAATGGAAAGGTTAAAAAAAAAAACAAATTATCGCATTTCATTTATCATCGAATTCCAGAATGGTATGCAATAGCAATGTTTTATCAATCAAACTATAACAAGAAATAACCTTTGTGAGTGAAAACCATTGCAGTTGTTAAGAAAATGTCACGCCTTTTATCGTAGTAGAGTTTGTTATTTATTTACAAAACGCGCTAATGATGATTACGTTTTTAAATGTCAATCAATCATCTATGACGTCACATTGCTTGCTATCTATCGACTCTGAAAAGAAAGTACTACTAAAATTGGTCGAGTTTTAAAATTATATTTAAGAAGTAACTTTATAGAATTGTAAAGGTTGGTTAACAAATTAGAAAAGTTAGTCAGAAAAAGAGGGAGAAAGGAAGAAAAAGAATATCTTGAATAAATTTTTATCTTTTTTCTTCGTTAATAACAAAAAGAAAAATATTTTCCTCTACAGAACTAAACAGAATAATTTTTTTTCTTTAAAATTTACAGAATTTCAAGCTTTAAAAATAAAGGAATAAATAATGGCATGTCGAAAATTACCTACTAAAACTGTTTCGGAAAAATCAAATACTTTTTGATAGCTAAGACGTATTTTTCTTGAAAATAAAAGAAGTAAAACCTGAATATTGTTCCAAACGATTTCCAGAATCATTGTTTTTAAAATAAAGAATCAAAAAAGACGTCCATTTTGAGAATATCACTGCTGACATCAACAAAATTGAAACAATTGCAATTTGGCACATATGGTATAAAAATTACATTAAATTAAAATCTAGAGCATAATATTTTAATGCATAAATGATATTTTTAAAACATTTTAATCTTTTTAAAAAAAAATTTTGGGAGCTAAACTAATTTTCGAAACACTGTATTATTTGAGTTTACACTATATTGTATTTTCATTTATTTTGTTTTTGTCGAATATCAGCAATGGTTTTAAGTCTTTCTTCTCCTCTAAAGACCGCTATTTAAAGTACTACTTATTTAGCTGCTCCAGCGCTAAAGCTGATTAAGTTCAAAAGCAATATATATATATATATAGTTATTTTAGCTTTTGATCACATTCCACGTTAAGCATGGAACGTACTGAAAACGCCTACTCGTGTAGTAATTGATAATGTGCTGATAAACGTGTTTATTATTTTTTGTTATTATTATTATCCTACTCTAACTTTTCTTTTCTTTCTAGTTGTTTTTACTTGTACCACTGATGTTGGATTTTTCAGAAATACTACTGATATAAGGATTACAAAACAAGAGTAAACACAAGGAGTTTTAAATATTCGTTAAGTCAGTGGAAAATTCACCACAAATCTAGGCTAAAAAGCCCACAAATGATCTTATTTACAAGAACTATCTCATATTTTAGGCATGTTGCAAACGAGTTGTGGGTTCATGTTAAGAATTTTAAAAGCTTGCCACCCACTCTTTTCCTTTGAATGTTGACGATTCCCATTCATAGCTGAGAAGGTCCGCTTGCTTAGAGATGAGACCAGCAGAACAACCGGAAGCCCTTTTTCTTTCACCTGGAAATCCGCCAACACCTATCAAGAGCTTCCCACAGACTTTTTTCTTTTTTTTTTACTACTCTTCCTCTTTAATAAACAACCTTTTCCTTTTAACATCCCTTTTCCCGCGTAATCAAGGGTATAAGACACGTACTAAGAATGAAGACACAGACAGCTGACTGCGTGTAATTTAATTGTCATTAATGTAGGAAAATAATTTAGGCAATAAGAGAGAAGATGGTAACTACTATTTGGAACACGCTAAAAAAAATGCACAACAGAAACTAACTGATTCTGCGAATTTAAAGGAATTTTGAAAAACATTTTGCTAATAAAAATCCGTAAATGAAATTGTAACCGTAATTTTATTGACTGTAAATATAGATATAAATTAAATCAACAGGGCTAAAAATGAGTCTTTCCTTGTATAATATACGTTTAATGTTAAGAATTCTTACAGGATTGAAATGTATTGATTTTTTTAAAAAGTAAATAAAATTTAAAAGAAATCTTATGTTTTTCAAAATATCTTACCCTGTGAAAACATATAATAACGTATATATTATATGTACTTTTGATTAAAATTTTCCTCGATTTACGATACGATTTTTTTCCCCCTAATGTCGTAAAATTATGAAAGAGACACCTGCTAACCTAAGCGATATTCTGTGAACTATTAAAATTTTAACAATATTTACGATCATATAATATTATTTATCTGATTCTTTTTATTTTTACTTTTGGTGTTAAACCACGGCACTTCTGAAAAGAAAATATTTTGCCGCTTTTTTTATGTTGTTTCACCGCCCTGCTGGGTTTTTTAAATTTTTTTTTAACAATATTTGAAGTTTCGAGATTCAAAAAAATTATTATTTTTTTTCAAGAATTTCTTATAATTTAGTCAGTATAATATAACTAGAATTAAAACGAAAATGTAATTAAGGGGAAAAAAACTTAACGTAAGAAAAAATTGTTTGTAGAAAAAAAAAATTTAAAACTCAAGCTATAAACAATAAACCGAGATTTAGGAAAACTTCTACTTTTTAAATACTTTATAGTTCACATTCGATATCTTTTTAGCACATTTTATTGAGTTCAGTTTTTTGAAATTTTACTGAACACTGCCTTTAAAATAAAACTTTAAAAAATATATCTAAACTGAATGGAATGAATCTCAAACTTAATTCAGGAGAGCTTCAACTTTATTGTATAAAATTCAATTTGTGAAAGACGAATAATTTATTTTTCATGCCTTTTTATCAGTGCGTAAATAGCAGAAAATTCACACTTTAGACAAACGAAACAACATTTTTATATTAAAAGATGCTCACATATGAAGAATTTTCAGTAGTTGCAATATCAATTGGGTAGTAGTATCAATTGGAAACAAGGTTGGGAAGTTTGACTTTTGATATTAATGTGTCAGTCTAAATAATGTTTGCAAATACACAATGTATTAATTCTTAGGGAATTATAAAATACTTGAATTTGTGTAAAGTTTAATGAAACAAGGACCAAAAGCGACTATTCCACGTCAAATTAA